GAATGTTGTTCAACACAAAATAATAAACTTATTAAAAATATTATGAGATTTTTATTGTGATTATTATTATTATTATTTGTCTTTTTGAGACAGGGTCTCCCTGTAGCCCCAGCTGGCCTAGAACTTGGTATGTAGACCAGGCTGGCCTTGAACTCACAAAGATCCACCTGCCTCTGCCTCCCAAGTGCTGGGATTAAAGGCGTGCACCACCACACTCGGCCTTGTAATTATTTTTTGTACCTTGAGTACTTGGTTTTCCAATATAAATTTTGTAGATGGCAATGTTCTGTTGTATCAAAAGGCTGGGCATAAGCCTTGAATGGTGCCATACAGCTTTAATCCCAGCACTTGGGAGGCGAAGGCAGGCAGATCTCTGTGAGAAATCTATGTAGTGAGCTGGTGCACAGCTCACTAAGTAGGCTCTATGAGATTTTTAACTTTTCTCCTAAAGATCAACCATCCTCTCAATGACGTGGCTCAGCAGGCAAAGTCACTTGCTGCCAAGCCTGAAGACTTGAGTTGGGTGTCTGGGACCCATGTGGTGGGAGGAGAGAACTGACTCCTACAAGTTGTTCTCTGAGCTTAACATGTGCACCATGACGTATATGTGCACACATACAATAGAATAAGTTTTTTAAGTTACAGAAAATTGGACAAATTTACAGCTTGCTTATCTTGTGATCACACACACAAAGGAGAATCATTAGTGCTTCACTTGCCTATGTTCAGATAACTGATTTGGATTTCCCTAAAAATGAGCATGGCCAATATCCTGCCTGCACATACAGAGACAGGCTCTGCACTCCAGGGATTCCCATCAGCCTGGTCTATGAGTGTCCTTGTGCTCATGGTGTCTTGTCTTTGCAGACATAAACCAGTTGTTTAGATCAGAGTTTCCCTGCTTTGGCTCCACCCTCCCTTCCTCATGCTTCCCACTCTCCATCCAATACTGGCAGGCCTCCTCATTGCAGGACTGATCACTACAGGCAAAGAAATAGCCTCAGCTGTCTCTCACCATCATGGCTTGGAACTTTTACAAACTGGATGTGAAATCATCTCTTCTCACTGTTGCCAGGCCAGATGGCTGCCTGGCACTATCTAATTAGAAGACAGGCCACAGATTTTTTGGGACCACATTCTAGAAGTAAAAAGCAGCCAAATTCTGAAATAAAACTATGATGTTAAACTAGCTTTAGTCATTGCATACATAGAAAAATCAGCCAAAGTATCACTTTGATATCACGTGGCACGTCTTGTTTGTTCTAATTAAATTTCTGTCTTACTGATGAGGAATCTGGATAGTTTTCATCTTACAAAATCTTTAAGAATCAAACTTGGTCCAGATGAACATGAAGAGGAGCTAGGAGTCAGACATACACCGAATCTCAATTTATTTCTAACAACGGTTAGCTGAGGAGGTAGCCTACAAGTTATATTTGACCCCTAAACTTGACCCTCAGTCTGCAATACAGTTACCAGTGAGAATCTGGGCTGAACTGGTGCTGGGTGGTGCTGTGTGAACCTAATCAAGAAGAGGTAGATTCCTCGAAGCCTTTCACCATTGGCCTGCCCTCCTCCCACCTCATGTATCCTGTGACAGATGCCACTGAAAACCGGACATGCTGTTGTTACTACCTGCACACATACTGCCTATTTTCTCCTTTGGGTCCTGTTTTTAGTACAAAACAGGTATTTTTTCACCATTGGTAGACACATGTCATCTTTGGTGGTTTTTCAAAAGAAGGTCAGGCATAAGATTTTCATTTTTATTTACTTATTTTGTGTGTATATGTGTGTGTGTACATGCATGTGGTAACTTGTGGAGGTCAGAGGACAGCTTGTGGTAGTCACTTCTCTCCTTCCACCATGTGGAGCTCAGGGTTTGAACTCAGGTTGTCAGGCTTGGGGTCAGGTGCATTTATTTCCTGAGCCAGCTCACAGTGTGATTTTTTTTTTTTTTTGAGACAGGTGACCCTCTAGTCCCAGCTGGCCTGCTTGGATCTCAGTAAGTAGAACAGGCTAGCCTTGATCTTGCAGAGATCCTCCTGTCCCTGTCTCCCGAGTGGTGGAATGAAAGGCGTGTGCAATTAAGCCCAGCCCAATGTGATGTTTCTGATGTAAGTATTCAATGTGGAATGATGGTTGAGCTAATGAACATATCCATCTTTATCCACATTTTTCCTTTGGCATTCAGTACATGCTTTGTTTTGGATGAGTATTTTCAAAGGACCATGTCTTAAAGGCTGGAATACCAGAATGGAACATGTAGGAGGTGGTTGAGCCTTTGATAAGTTGGAACCTAACCATGGGTCACGAATACCATACAAGGGCTTGTCGACCCCAGTCTCTCAGTGTCTCTGCCTCCAGGCTCAGGATGTGAGCAGTTTGCTCAAATGTACCCCCCAGCACTGCCATCCAGTGATCTGGTCAAACCCCCAAAGCCATGGAATGGCCCTATCTTGGACTAGAATTTCCAAGACTGTGACTAAATAACCTTTTTGTTTTTCTTTCTTTCTTTCTTTCTTTCTTTCTTTCTTTCTTTCTTTCTTTCTTTCTTTCTTTCTTTTTTCTTTCTCTCTCTCTCTCTCTCTCTCTCTCTCTCTCTCTTTCTTTCTTTTTCTTTCTTATTTTTTAGTCATTTTAAGACAGGGTCTCCTGTAGCTTCAGTTGACTTGGAACTCATTATGTAAATCAGGCTGGCCTTGAACTCACAGAGATCCACCTGCCTCTGCCTCCAGAGTGTTGGGATTAAAGGCGTGCGCCACCACTCCAGGCCCATCTTTTTATTTTTATAAGTTAAATGCCTCAGGAACCTCACTGTAGTAATGGATTGATGTCTAATATGGTTTTCTTACTTAAAAATGAGTTTGGTGGTACCCTTCTGTGATCTTTTGCAGGAGTTCCTGGTGAAATTCAGAGAAGGGTTGGGTAGAGTCTTGCTTCAGCAAATCTTTCTGTGGTATCATCAAACATCTATTTGGGGTTCCAAAGTGAGATAGGAGACAGTTTCATGGCACATTCTTGGTCACCTTGTCCTTAGTCACTGATAATGGGACTCTCAGTGTTTAGAACTGGAATAGTGCCTGGCTCATCAAACACACTTTATCAACATTTGTTGAATGAATGAATTAATCTTAGTATTTGAATATAATCTTAGTAATTTGACTCATACTCTGAAAATTACCATGGTGTTTCTACTCAACAAATTTTCTGGCTTAGCTTTACAAAAAGTAAACTAAATCTGTGTGAATAAATCACACAGAAAAGAAGTTTTCTTTTGAAAAGCCATAAAATAAAAATGAGTAATGTGACTATATAATATTAGGTATATTCTATTACAACAACATATATCTTACTGTTTTAAAAAGAGTTCCTTCAAAAGCTATGTATGAAAGTATCACCATGAAACCCATTACTCTACATGCTAATTTTACAGAGCTAATAAAAAAGAGTTCCCTTTTAAAATCAAAACTAATAAAAAGTGTGTATCAGTAGGGCTTGTTTTTTCAGGTCAATTAAAGTGTGTAAGTACAGGTTTTTATTTTTGATTCTGTGTTTGGTACAGATTATCTCAGCTTTTGGTCTACTCTGACAGATTGCAATTTAAATTTTTGAAAATCTAATTATAATTTTGGAATAAGAGCAAATGTGTTTCTTACTTTTAAAATATTCATGCATATATATGTATATTATTTAAGAATAAGGCCTTGAGGACATTAAAAACATGTTTGTTATATCACACTATGGAAATTGGTAGGCTAAGAGTATCAAGTTAGTTACAGTGATAAGTAGTTAGTTACAGGTATAATTAGATAACATAGATAATGAAATGATAGCTAGAAATTAAGCTGAAATAAATGTGATTAAAACATCTAGAATACAAAAAAAAGCTATTTTAATAATAAACAAGGGAAATTCAAGAGTACTTTAAGGGAAATTAAAACACTTTTGGTACTTAATGAATTTTCAGTACATCACAAATGTTAAAATAATTTAAAATTTATATTATCTGAATTTTGGGGAAAGACTATAAACAATAATAGTAAGATAGTCATTTATTTCTGATGAAAATATTGAAATGACTTTAAAAGTGTGGAATTATTGTTAATATTGCGTTAAACATATGGGTTGAGTCCACAGAGGTGCCTTACTCCTTAAAGCTCACCTAGAAGGACAATAAAAGCTCCCTTCTCAGTAAAACCACTGAAATGTGGGCCAGTATTCTTGATAGGACTCTGTTTTCTGAGACAGGGTGTAGATTAGTTATTTATTCTGTTGTGATAAAATACTATGACCAAGGAAATTTATAAAAGAAAGAGTTTATTGGGATTACAGTTCCAGAGGGCTAAGAATCCATCACAGAGGGGAGGCGTGGCAGGAGGCAGCCAGAGCAGAAAGCTAGCACTCACTGCAGCACTCAAACAGTTACAGGAAGTAGAGACATAAACTGGAAGTGGGATGAGGCTTTGAACTCACCAAGCTGACCTCCAGTGACTTGCTACCTTCAAGGCCACACCTCCTAGGGATTTGCATGACACCCCCCAAACAGAGCCACCAACCGACCAAGTGTTGAAATGCTTGAGCCTGGGGTCGGGGGCACCTCCTTCAAATCACCACAGGGTCTCTTGCTGAATCTTGCTGTTCTATCTAGACTGGATAGCCAGTTCCAGATATCTCCCTGTCTCTACCTCTCACCTCATCTGCCCAGCACTGACCGAGGTCATAGATGAACTCTGTCAGCCCCTGGCTTCTACCTGAGTGCTGAGCCTTGGGGCAGGAATTTGGAATAGGTGTTCCAGGAATTAGTATTTTGACTGTGCTTAATGTCAATGACACTGTCTTAGGCAGACCACTTGGAGACAGCTAACACAATGACACCAAGAATCAAGGAAGCCAGGTTATCACTGTATCTTTATCTACCTACTAATAAAAAATGTTCACAGAAAGTCTCCTCGGTGCTCTTCTGCATGCTCTCTCCCAGGGTTAATACCTGCCCGGTGCTATTCTTTCTGTGGTAAACCTGCTGCCCTCTTCATCACCCTCTTGAGGGCATCTTTGATTTCTGTGTTCCTTAGACTGTAGATCAGAGGGTTTAACATGGGGGTGAGGATAGTGTAGACTACGGACAGCACCTTGTCCTGTTTTGTGGAGTGTTGAGAGCTGTGGTTCAAGTACACAGAGAAGCTTGTGCCATAGAAAACTGTCACTGTTGCCAGGTGGGAGCCACAGGTCTTGAAGGCCTTGACACAGCCTTTGAATGAGGAGATTTTCAGGATGGAAACAGCAATGAAGACATAGGATAAAAGGATAATAAAAAAAGAGCCAAACCCAACAAAAACAGCTTCCAGGAAAAGAATCAACTGGCTAATGAAGGTGTCACTGCAAGATAAGGAAATGACCTGAGGCAAGTCACAGAAGAAATGCTGAATGATATTTGGCCTGCAGTAATAGAGATTAAAACAAGCAGTTGTTTGAACCAAGCTACCAAGGAATCCAGTCCCATAGACTCCAGCAACCATCCTCTGGCAGAGGCTGGGGGCCATGATGGCTGAGTACTGCAGAGGGTTACCAATGGCTACATACGTGCCATAGGCCATAATGGCCAGGAGGCAACACTCAGATATAGCCATCCAGGCCAAAACAAAATATTGAGTGGCACAAGCAGTGAAGGAAATAGTTTTCTCATCTTTTAAGAAGTCCGAAAGCATCCTTGGGCTAATGGAAGAGGAATAGCAGATATCGATAAATGACAGGAACCTGAGGAAAAAGTACATAGGTGTCTGCAGGTGGGAGTCCATCCCGATGAGGATGGTAAGGCCCAGGTTCCAGGTCAGAGTCACAAGATAGATCCCCAGGAAGACTGGAAAGAGCATGAGCTGCAGTTCTGGCAGATCTGAGAGCCCCAGGAGGACAAACATGGTCACGGAGGTGTGGTTTCCACCCCCTTGTACAGTTCTGCTTGGTGCCATCTGCTGAGAATACGGTGAGAAAAGACAATGGTTTTATTACCCCAAAGAAACTGGGGGTAGCGTCTCAGGACTTCTCAGTAAAGTATGTTAATTTAGCAACTATAGCATGAAAGCATTGTGCTTGATTTGTGTGAGGCATAAAACTAATGGTATTGCCATAGATTGCTTACATTGTATAATGTATATATCAAGTTAAACGTATTTATCTCCTCCAGCACTTATTTCTTTATGCTGAAAACTTTCAAAAATCCTTTCTTCTGGCATTTAAAAAATATCAGTGAATCATTATGCTTTCTATATTCACTCTACTGAGTCAAAGCAATCTTAAACCAAAGGAACAAAGCAGGAGATATTTCATGTCATGCTTCACTTATTTAGAATCTGATCTGTGTATCAAAGCTACAGTTGCATCCACTTGATTTGGGAATAATAGGTTTCACAAAGTTAATTTTTTAAATCAAAGAAATCAGATAAGATAAGCCTTCCAAAATAACCCAGAGCTTCTATTCTCTGTGTTCTCATACTTTAAAAATGAACAGAACGAGGTAAGCTCTTGCAGGCATTTCATCCATCCCTACTCCCAATCTGCTGAAGTGCATCAATACTGCCGTTGTATTCAGACCAGCCTTCTACAAATTTGCTTTCTGAGTTAAAGAGCTGCCCCATGAAACTGGTTCCATAATGAAGTCAAGCCTTGAAGGACAATTAGACAGAGCCTTTAATAAATCTATAAAATTGTGTTTGGATCTGAGACCCTTGATACTTCTTGTTACAGACTCCAAGGGACTCACCTTAGGGTTCTGATAAAGTTTCCCTTTCCTGTGATCCAACTCCTTCTAATTTGTGATGTACCCAGGTATACTGAAATGACCAACAGACATTTCCACTTCTTGGTTCTTGGAACATTTCATTTCTTCACCACTCTGGGATGAGCATAGAGTTTATCATTAGCAATGTTTGATTTCTTCAGACTCCTTCAGAAATGATTCAGCTGTGGGAGGAGAGGGACTTAAGTGCTTGTGAGTTTTCTCTATCACATGTACAGAAAGAATTTAGAACACAATCTGTAACAATGAAGGAACAATTACCTCCCTCCTGGGTAATTGTTGAGAGAGACCAGCTCTAAGAATTGGCCCCTTGCTCAGGTTCCACACTCTCCAGGGAAGGTGCTAATCTTATGAGACATTTTGATGTCAATGAACCTTCCTTTCATCCTGAAAGAATTATGAAGTTCACACAGATGCCAGCTTCAAACTTCTTATACATTATGACAGCTTTGTATTAAAACAATCACTGTAGATGTCTGTCTGGAAAAAGAAAATACCAGGAAGTAGGTAACTATGACTGTGATTCAAACTAGCAAAAAATGGTTTCTTCATTCTTTATTTTCTTTTTAAAAAAATTATTTATTTAATAACCACATGATTAGAAGAAGAATTTATTTCATTACATCAGCATTGACATATTCAATAACAATTTTCTAAGCTAAGATGCATCTTTTTCAGAATTGGCTATAAATTTTTAGGTTTACAGTTGAATTATTACAGTTATACAATATTGTACTCAGTATAAACCCTATAAGACATA